ACCAGGATGTTCTGCCTCAGCTCCCCCGTCTTTGCAACCGGAGCTAACGCCGCCCTGGGACGTTTTATATTCTCCGCGGGCAGAGAATATCGAAGTGCCTTTTTTAGGCTTCAGTTTTTTTGCTTCCTAGAGGCTGGCTCGAAGCCAGCGCGATGTCTTTCCCCTTACATGTCTTCATGAAAGCAAAAAGGTTTTGCACGGCTTATCAGGTGAGGGTCAGACCTATCTGTTAACACGGGGGGGGAAACCCTGATGAAATTATACGCCGGATCTCACTGGGGAAGATGAGAGATCTCACTGCTTTTTTTTTTTTATTTCCCGCCAGCCAGCGGAGCTGCAGCTAATCTGCGGGAAACGCTCCATGTAACGATGTCAGACGGACTTACAAGGTATCGGTGACAAGTCGCAGCACACTGTCCCTGGCCCAGGCGTTCCTCAGCTTTGCCATTGACGAGCGCCCGGCCGTGTAACGGTGTAATTATAGTTTTGTGGGTCTCTCCAGGCACGCACGGGGTTGCACACAAGGCAATATGCCTTTTTATAGCTTGTGGAAGTGTGGGTGATGCCATCAGTATTCGCGTCTCGTTTCTGGCTGCGGCGTCCCCATTCTGGCCAGACAGTCAGAAAATGTCGGTGTAACACGAGGACAAGGTGGTGGAGCTGACTTGCCGCTGGTCTCGCTTCTGGCTGCTTCACCAGGCTGTTTAAAACATCCCTGGAAACCGGCTCGGTGGTTTTTTGGGTGACTTCTGGCTAATCTGTGGCAGCTGCTTTTCTGGAGCAACGTTTCTAATTAAGGCATGCTCAAAAATCTTCTGAAGTGAGCTGTGCTGACACCGCAGCCAAGTTATTTTAGTGCCCAAAAGATCACCACACTCGTCCCACGTGAGAGGTTTTGTACTTTAACGTGGTGAACCTTTTATGCGTGGTGCGCCGCATGTGCTTTAGTACATCAGTTTAATGGCACTTCCTATCTTTAGCCGGTGTATTTCGATAGCGGGTTGACAGATCTCAACACGCTCGCCTATCTCACCACAGTATTTAAGCTCAATTAGTTACCAGGCACAGAGTGGTGTGGAGGGTTTATTATTAGCTTGGAGCCAGCCACCAGCCAAGGACAGCGCTGCAACCAGGTCTGCACTCTGGGTTCGTCTCCTTTGGAGAGAAGGAGGCCGAGGGGCGACCTCGTCGCTCCCTGCAGCTTCCTGAGGAGGGGACGCGGGGAGGGAGGTGCTGATCTCTTCTGTGTGCGTTTGAACCAAAGCATGCGTCCGTGGTCACAAACAAGCCAAAAGATAATTTAACCAAGGCTCCTCAAGGAAGGTTCAGACTTGACATTAGGAAGCATTTCTTTACCGAGATGGTGATCAAACCCTGGAACAGGCTTCCCGGAGAGGCGGTCGATGCCCCCAGCCTGTCAGTGTCGAAGAGGCATTTGGACAGTGCCCTTAAGAACATGCTTTAACTTTTGGTCAGCCCCGGAGCGGTCAGGCAGTTGGACTAGATGATCGTTGTAGGTCCCTTCCAACCGAAATATTCTAGTCTGTTCTATTCTGTTCCTCAGCCACGGCGAGCTGCCCTTGTCCCCGGCACGCGCCAAGCGCAGACGTTGCCCCAGGCGTGGCCGGTGGCAGCACAGACCCGTCCGAGCGGACGGGGCAGAGAGGAGATGACGTTTTTCGTAGCGCTCACCATTGTGCTACTCGTGCTTCCCGCCGGGCTGCCCGGGTGAAGGTCACCGTTCGGCTCGCGGGCGGAGGCTCTGCCTAAAAGCCTGGTGAAGAATAGGAGTCGCGCTCTTCATAAAAGAGGAAACTCAGGCAGAATGTTGTTCTCAAAGAAAAGTACGCGATAGGCAGGAAAAGAAAGGTCTACCACTCAGTTTTGCTTCAGGAGCAATGTCCCCGTTCCTTCCTCAAGCGTGTCACGCTCCACGTCCCCATTGTGTTTGCCTAATTTTGTGCTGTCTTGCCGGGAGTGGGAGGCTTTTTTTATCTCACTGAAATGAGAAAAAGCCTATCAACAGAAAAATCAGTAAAACTGTTTCCACTGGTATTTTATTTATAGTTTTGCTAGAAAGGGAGGACGCGGATGAGTAAGAACTCTGTGGACTTCCTACAGACTTACTCGGAAGCATTTGAGAAAGCAGAACCTCCTGTAGCTACGTTTTAGAGTTGCAGCGTGCTGCCTGGCACTTTAATGCAGGATTTTGCCAGAAGCACGTAACCTACTTGGGCGTGAGCCGCTCTGCAGGGCGCGGTGTGACGGCAGGCGACACAGGGGTATGAAGGACTGCTCCCTGCC